CCACAAAAGCTACATCAAGTCCATATATAAACTGTATATATGAACATTGCTCACCTTTATGTTGTTCTTTTATCACTGCAGTATTTGGACCATCATTATTACTGGATGAACGCATGCTCAAAGCCCTGAAAAACATGAACAGTACAATTAGTGCAAGAAACAAGCATACCACAAAGAAATAATAATTACCAGCAGCACCATGGTGATATTATGCAGTAATATTAATTCCTGTACTGTTACTGGCATGAACATGGTCTTTATGAACATGCCCACCAATGATGTCAATGTCCAATTGGTAGTATAACAGTATCTATAGTAGTTTCCCTAAAATCAGGTTTATGCATACTAATGAGGTCGTCATCATTCTCTCACCTTCTACTATGGTTAAATTTTGTTAAAATTTGCAAATGTTGTATAATCACATACCCACATATAGTTCAAGCTACACATAAACAGGCACTACTAAGCTGACAACAAAGGTAACAAAAACACAGTCCACCTAAATCACCGGTCTGGCAACGATGTCTCCATCCATGCTCTATCCAAGCATGAATGAACAGATATTAACATCTATGATATGCAGCAATCATCTGAGCAAAGTTGTTAAATATACATGTGAACCAAGGTAAAAATCAGTTTATTATTCCTCACCTGTATCTGAGTAATATTGTTTGAATACAAGACAACGCTGAGTGTAGTTCATAATCTTTACATACAGGCAACAAATGACTGAATCCATCACCTGTGACCAAGAGAATCCAAACATTGTTTGTGATGAGTGCTCAACATGAACAAACAAGATGTAAACAGTCACAGGTTGAATGCTACATTGTAATAGACAATTTTCTTTTTACTGTGAGATCCTGTATTATGCGTGAATCAAGCAAAAAGAAACAGAACAAAGGTCATAGCGGAAAAACATTGTGTGCGACATAGAGAAATAGATTTGTGGGTCTTTCCACACTTAATATAAAGGTGCCATTAACACATTTGCCTATGATCAGTATTTCAACATTGAGCTATAAAAACTGAAATTGATATTCAAAATCAAATCGTTTGTTTTTTGCGGCAGATCATGCCTTTCATGCAATATGCACGATCTCTCTCAATAAACAGAAAATTATCTCAATATGCAGATGTACTACATGAACATGTAGAAAAAACTAGAAGGGCATTCATAAAAAAATGATCCACATTGAATTACTGACTATCATTTAAATCAGATGAGATGTTATTGAGATATCAGATATCAAATCCTACTTATGACAAACGTCAATCTAATCCTTACCTATCAGCTGATCTTCTGATAAATGAAGGTATGTACTTCTTTCAAATACTTCCTGGATGCCTTCCAGATAAGTACTGATTATCTCCCAGAATTTATAATGTACATTTGAGTCATCTGAATTTTGACTGAACTCTCTGGAATTAAATGGATGATGCATCATTGTTCTATGTTCACAATCTGAAACCGAATAGTGTTTATTTCTTACACATGCCAACTGTAGGAATGTTTGTCATATGCACATACTGCTTTGTTTGCTATATCTGTCTCTACCTTTTGAGCAGCAGCAATTTCCCATCCAAATTCTCCTGTTTTTCACACATTTTATATTTATTTTTGTATAATTTCTTAATTTATTTTGCATCAGATGAATATAATTACCTAATGATTATAGGTTTGGATCAAAATTTTTGAAAACTGTGGAAAAAATTATGAATTTTGAATTTTGTGAATTGTGACTGAAGTCAATTGTGGCATTCAGAAGGTGTTTGAGTGCATGCACAGTGCTGGCTATAAAGTGTATGAGAGCACTGCCACCAAGATGAGACTTAGTGGAAGATGTTCAAAACTCAAAAATTCTCTTGATTACTTGATTGTGCATTAGGTAATTAGACATGTTTTCAGACTTGTGGCATACATGCAACAGATACACCATATTGATGCCGAAATAGCATATTCAAATTTCATAATGATAGAAAGATCGTTACACGTACACATGTCATTGTCCCAAACAAAATTGCACATTACATGTGTATGTCAGCACTCTTAATTTGCAAACACAAAAAAGTCAGCTAAGACATTCAATGTCCAGAAAAGATGCTTAGCACAATAAATATTGTTTTTAAAAATCATTGTATTCATACTACAACTTTTATTTTTTGCCAGTTTCTAAGACGACTTTATAAGTAAAACTGAATTTTAAGTCTGGTGATTCAAGGGTAAGTTTTATCAGCACATTGCCTGCTGGTGCTGCTTTTCCCATTTATTTTGGATATCAGTCAATGTTTTCAGCAAACATCCAATCTTGCATGTCATGTTTTTACATACACTTAAGGTAGAAGCCTAGTCATAATTTTTGACAAAATGGTCATAAATCACATGACAATGTTCATTAGTTTATTATGTACAATCATGAAGCTAATGTCCCATGGTACAATGAAATAGCATTATTTTGTGTGTTACAGTTAAGCTTTTTGAGAAACTGCCCTAATATTTCTTGAAAATTGCTATTTTTAGAACAATTCCATAGAACACAAGGCTAGATTTTGAGATATTGCATAATATCTCTGCCATAGGAACCTGTGGTAAAAGTGTTATAATAGTGTCAAAATGGTGACTTTGCACTAAAATACAACCATCAATTTCTCGAAAAAAAGGCTGATGACCCAAAACTTTTTTTAGGTCAATATCCTTATATTACCTTGGAGTACAATTTATTGCAAAATGAAAAAATTCTGGGTTTTTTTAATTTATGACTTGGCTTCTACCTTAAATGTACATGTATCTCACTAATTGTAGTATATCAAAATATACACAAATGATAAATGAGACCTATACACATACCTACATACTGCATTAAACTGTAATACCAACTTGTGAGCCAGCACTTTGATATCTAGTAATTTGTCCTCGTTAATTAAGATCAATGCAAACAAACCTAATATAAAACAAAAATAAATCACCAATACGTAATTTTATATTGATGAGTTATATAATACTGTGTATCAGTGAACAGCACCACTGCATACAATGTATATTGGTCACCATATGTAAATGAGTTATATGAAAGTGGTTACCATATGCAAATGATACTCCATATGCAATTTGATCACCATATGTAAATGAGTTATATGAAAGTGGTTACCATATGTAGATTATACTCCATATGTAAATTGATCACCATATGCAAATGACACTTCATATGTAAATTGATCACCATATGTAAATGAATATCAATATGCGAATGAGTTTTTATATGTAAATTAGTCCCCGTATGTAAATGAGTCATCATGTTTAAAATGATCACCATGATCACCATGTGTGAATGAGTTATATAAAAAGTATTGGTACACTATATGTATAAAATGAGTCTCCATGTGTAAATGAGTCAGTATATGTAAATGAATCTCCATGTGTAAATGCGTCACTATATGTAAATGAGTCTTCATGTGTAAATGAGTCTTCATATGTAAATGGGTCTTTATATGTAAAAGAGTCACTATATGTAAATGAGTTTCCATATGTGAATGAATCAAATGTTATGTGTAAAAAAACTTGTGCTAGCATGCTTAGAAATAAAGCTGTAGAGAATACTAACAGTATACTTGATTGAAAGTCATCAATGCCCATGCGGTCGGAGATATCAAAACCATACAAGTTCAGAGATAGTGCCTCGTAGTATATACTGTACATTAGTTCAATACAAGATATAAATTTACCTTTCCAAATGACTATCCTCTTTCTTTGACTAATTCTGTTACTAGGCAACATGTCCAATAGATCGCACATTCTACTTCCCTGAAAATAATACATCATGTATGGTTTAATGTGAATCCCATGATTCAAATTTTTATTTTTTTGTAATCGACATGACACCATGGCAGAAAAGAATGAAACTACTTTCAAGTAAGAAAAATAATTTGGACTTAATTTGGACTGAATGTCTTCAAAGGATAACATTTTACAACAGAATACAAATGACAAGGACAACCAAAGCCATTCATTTGTCAAAAAGAAGGGTTGATCAAAAAATGTATAAACATATTGCATGTTTAAGGTAGCGGGACTATTATTTGCATACTTGTTTTCATCTTCTAATTGTGACTGAATGACTAAAAATAGACCCGGGAAAGTATATATTTTTAGAATCGCCAGACTTCAAGCTTTTCACAAGTGTATTTTGCATGCCCGTATCTGCATTCTACGAC